CTCAGTGGTGAGAGAAGACAAACACTGGGTGGGCCACACTCAAAGGAGTTCTCTTTTCCATCTAGTTTACCCATGCAGGCGGGGGGGGGGAGGGGAATAGGCCAAGATACATCTATGGTTGGTGCCGGTGGCATACTCCTCCATCATCTGTGTCACTGAAACAGGATCTCCTATTGCTTTTGATGGAAGATGTCCTTTATCCAAGAACCCAGTTCAGTCCTGCTATGCTTTGGACACGCCTGCCTTGCATACTGGGAGAGTGCACTTTGAGCAATCCTCTTTGTACATTTTTGTACAGTGTTAAGGCAATGCACACTTCCTGTTTCAGTACATACAATTGGAAACAATTGGACAATATATGTAATACCCTGATCACAGAAAATGGAAAGTGATATGTAATTAGAGAACTGGATGTAGCATGTTGTCCCAGGATGCAAAATGGAAACGTAAAAATGTTACATCTGAACAAAGCTTAACTTGTGGGAACTGATCATCCACATCCCCCAAGTAGCAGGTACTTCTAACTTCTATTTATTCTGCATTCCAGTATTCTGCACTACAAAATACTAAATACATAACAGTATTGTATAGTATGAGGCAGAAAGTTCTAGAGTTCCGTGCCGTACTTTTGTGCTTCCCTCTAAACGAGGGGTGCCAGCCTCCAGGGGATCCCCCAGAATTGCAGCTCAGAATTACAGACAACAGAGAGATCCCTGTTCCCATGGAGGAAATGGATGTTTTTGAGGGTGTGAGCCCCAGAGCATCCTACCCCACGGAGGTCTCTGTCCTCTCCATGCTCCATCCCCAAATCTCCAGGAGTTTCCCAGCCTGGATCAGACAACCCTAACCCACCCCCTGCCAGTGTTCCCTCTAAGCTGAGTGAGTGTGAGCCAGCTCACAGTTTTTTAGCCTCCGGCTCACACATTTTTGTCTCAGCTCAGGAAGGAGGGCTCCAGAGCAAACTACTTTATGCAGTAGCCAAATCACTTGCTCACAACTTTAATGCCAGTAGCTCACAAAGTAGAATTTTTGCTCACAAGACTCCACGCCTTAGAGGGAGCATTGCCCCCCACCCCCTGCCAGTGGCCAGGGGGGGCCTGGCAATCGGACTACAAAAAGAACTTGCAGAGAGTCTTACTAAGATACTGCTAATTGCTCTTCTTTAGCAGAAGATACCTGTACATAGAAGCTTCTGGAATTCAGCCCTTTTTACACTATTATTCCATCAAGGTGATGATTAATCAAAATCATGGCAGTGATTTCATTGATATTCCTCCCCATCCCCGCATATTATTATCACAACAGAACCATATATTTCACATCAGCCCCAGCCCCACAGCTAACAACTTTTTGCTCAGGGGGCCAATGTTTTTCTCAGGGGGACTGCCATTACATGACTGCGTGGTACTGCCACGCCATGCCATGCTCATACTTCTAAACAATAACTAAATAATAAATACAGGTGATTTATTGCACAAAAATGTTTCAGTACTAAACACCATTATACCTAAAGACAGTACTAAACACTATTATGCGCAATGCAAAGCACATAATCAATCACACACCAATTTATCTCTACTCCTCACATATTATAGTCCTCACGTATGTATCCTCAGCAAGGAGGACTATAAATCCTCTGTATTTTAATGTATTTTAGTGAATTTCTTTTTCCAGAATAGTACATTAGAATACGGAATGCATGCAAGGGATGTTGGGATATCTGCTGAAATAGCGGCATTTTTCGCAGGGGGAGGTGGGGGTGAGTGCCCTCCCCACCAGACAGGAGGGAATGAAGATCCCCACTCACTTCCCACAGCTTCCCACTTTGCACATCTTGATCTGCATCATGCTGCATGTTAACTTGCTGTTCATTCTCTGGCTATAAGTCTCAGATCAGATTCAGTGGAAATTATTTATTACTAGGAGAAAGCCCTGTTGTGGAAATGAAAGAGGGCCTGGGTGAGTGCGAGGTCCTGGTGATGCGCCTCAGCGGGTGGGCAGGAGAAGCCCCCTCCCACCTCGGCTGCCCTGGTGAGCGGGCCAAGAAGGGGTGGGAGGGGGGCTCTGGGAGCCTTCTCCTGCTCGTCCATCTCGGTGGGCGGGCAGGAGACATAAGGGGAGGCTTTGAAACGCCCCACCGCTCTCTCCCGGGCCCTTGTGATCGGGCCAGGAAGGGTTGGGAGGGGACTCTGGGAGCTTTCTCCTGCTCGTCTCCCCAGAAGGACTTCCCGCAGACTACCTGGGGCAGGCCACGTGGCCCAGGGGAGCACGGCGCGGCCGTCTCCCCCGTCCCCGAGGCCAGTTGGTCCCCCTGGGAAGCATCCATCTCCGCTGCCGGCTCCTCGCAGACTGTGGGTGAGAGGCTGGCCGGTGGGTCTGTGGGCGGGACCGAGGCGCTGACAGGCCAATGGCTGAGGGAGCACATTTTATGTGGCCACCCCAAATCGCTTTTATTAATAAGGAAGGATTATTCCCTCATGCCCTGCCTTTCCCCCCACCCAAGAGGGATCCAAAGCCACTTATGTTATGCCCCCCCAATCTTCTTCTTGCAAGTATTCTGTGAGGGAGGTTAGGCTGAGGCTGTGACTGGCCCAGGCTCACCCAACAACCCATGGCAGAGTGGGGAGTTGAAACTGGGTCTCTGGGCCCAAACAGACTACTCTGGGACTGGAATGACAGGCCCCAGCTAGGAATGACAGCCCCTAGGAGTAACAGAAGTGTTCTGGGACTGAAATGACAGGCCCCAGAGTAGAATGACAGCCCCTGGGGGTAGCATGAGTGTTCATGAACAGGCCCCAGAGTGAAATAAAAGCCCCAGAGGGTAGCAGATGTGTTCAGAGACTGGAATGAGAGACTACAGAGTGGAATGACAGCCCCTGGGGCTAGCAGCAGTATTCTGAAAATGGAATGACAGGCCCCAGAGTGGAATGACAGCCCCTGGGGATAGCAGTAATGATCTGTGACTAGTATGACAGGCCCAAGAGTGGAATGACAGCTTCTGGGGGTAGTAGGAGTGTTCTGGAACTGGAATGACAGGCTCCAGAGTGGAATTATAGTCCTTGGGGGTAGTAGGAGTGGTCTGGGACACCCTGGGGCTGTCATTCTACTCTGGGGCCTGTCATTCCAGTCCCAGAATACTGCTGCTACCCCCCAGGGGCTGTCATTCTAGCTCCAGAACACTCCTGCTACAACCAGGGGCTGTCATTCCGCTCCGTGGTTTCTCATTCCAGTCCCTGAACACTCCTGCTACACCCTGGGGCTGTCATTCCACTCTGGGCTGGGGACTTTCATTCCAGGCCCAGAACACTCCTGCTACCCCCAGGGGCTGTCGTTTCACTCCGTGGTCTCTCATTCCAGGCCCAGAACACACCTGCCACCCCCAGGGGCTGTCATTCCACTCCGCGGTTACTCATTCCAGTCCCTGAACACTCCTGCTACCCCCAGGGGCTTTCATTCCACTCTGGGTTCTGTCCTTCCAGGCCCAGAACACATCTGCTACCCCCATGGACTTGGTCTCTCATTTCTAGTCACAGACCACTCCTACTACATCCAGGGGCTGTCATTCCACTTCAGGGTCTCTCATCCCAGTCCCAGAACACTCCTGCTACCCCCCAGGGGCTGTCATTCCACTCTGTAATCTCTCATTCCAGTCCCTGAATTTCACTCTGGGGCCTGTCATTCCAGTCCATGAACACTCCTGCTGCCCCCAGAGACCCTAATTGAAAATCCATTCCTCATTTTTATTGCAACTCTACTTGTACTGTAATGTATTTCAATGGAGCCCATGCAAGTCAATTGGCATTCCTCATTTTTATTGCAACTCTACTTGTACTGTAATGTATTTCAATGGAGCCCATGCAAGTCAATTGGCATTCCCGTCTC